AGACAATGTGGTGATTCCTTAAGATCTAGAAATAGAAATTCCATTTGACCCAGCAATCCCATTACTGGGTATATACCTAAAGGATTATAAATCATTCTATTATAAAGACACATGCACACATGTTTATTGCAGCACTATTCACAATAGCAAAAACTATGAACCAAGTGCCCATCAATGATAGGATAAAGAAATTGTAGCATATATATAGCATGGAATACTACGCAGTCATTAAAAAGAATGAGTTCATGTCCTTTGCAGGGACATGGGTGAAGCTGGAAACCATTGTTCTCAGTGAACTAACACAGGAACAGAAAACCAAACACCACACGTTCTCATTCACAAGTAGAACTCGAACAATGCAATCACATGGACACAAGGAGGGGAATGTCACACATTGGGATCTGTTAGGGGGTGGGGGGCAAGGCGAGGAATAACATTAAGAAGAATACCTAATATAGATGATGGGTTGATGGATGCAGCAAACCACCACTGCACATGTAAACCTACGTAACAAACCTGCATGTTCTGCACATGTATCCCAGAACTTAATTTAAAAAAAAAAAGAACAGAATGGAAGTGAAGAAAGTTTCAGGTGTACTTAGTACATAATAAAGGCATCTCAAATCAATGGGATACGAATCTGGCTTTTTTTCATAATGGCATTATGAAAAGTAACTGACATAAAAAACAGTATTAGATTTCTACCTCAAACTAACCACCAGAAGAAGTTATTGGTGGTTTTGAGATTTAAATGTAACAACTAAAACTATTAAAGAATTAGAATATAAAAAATATAGATGAATTTCTTTAAGTGGTGGGGACTTTTTCTGAGAAACCACAAGGAAGACAGTGACATATATTTTAAACTTTATAATAGCAAACTAAAACAAAACAACACCTTCCTTCATAAAGGCCACCTTAAAAAAAAGTAATGTAATCAACAAAGTCTTTAATCCACAAGTAAACCTTTACTAATTTATGTGAAAGATGAAAGTACCAGGTAAAAAATGAGTAAGAGACAAAAACGCAATGCCTAGGCTCAAAGTTCAATAAATGTGTTGATTAAATAAATTGATGATTGCCTAGACAACTCAGATTATAAATTGCTAAAAAACATATGAAAAAATATGAAATCATATACTTTTATACAAGTTAGCATTCTTTGCCCATTAAATTGCCAATATTTAAAAAGACATTTGATAATGCCTGTATCAATGAAGGGTGTAGGGAAATAAATACTCATATATTCCTCATAGGAGTGTAACCTTATTCCTTCTTAAAGGAATATTTGGTATTATAGATCAAATACTTTAATATATGAGTCAAAAAAGGGCTTTACAAATATGAAACTCCATTTAATGTTTCTTCAACCTTCAAAATGCCTTTTCAAAAGTAAGTGTGAAAGTTCACAAAGCAATACAATTAATTCCCTCTCAATCATGGTTTCACTTTCCACTGTTTCAGTTATTGGTGGTCTGAAAATATTAATTGGAAAATTCCAAAAATAAATAATTCATAAGTTTTAAATTTCATGCTATTCTGTGTGATGAAATTTTGTGCTGTCCCATTCCATCCAGCCCAGGACTTGAATCACCCCTTTGTCCAGTGTATCCACACTATATAAGCTAACCATGCCACTTAGTAGCCATCTTATCAGAATCAAAAACAGTATACATAGGGTTCAGTACTATTTAAGGATTCAGGCATCTATTGGAGGTCTTGGAACATAACTTTTGCAGATAAGGTAGGAACAATCACAGCAGGAAATACCTGTGGCACATGCCTTCCTTCTCTTTGATGGATTAGAGAGAATGGCCTATACCAAATCAATGGCATTTAAGAACTCTATTTCCAAACTGGAATATGTGATGGTCTTTTTCTTTTGTTCTTTTCCCCTTATCCTCTCCTTCCCTTTCTTCCTTCTACTACATTGTTGGTAGTACATTATTATATAAAGCTATATATTCCCACCCTTTAATATCAGGAGGCACTATATAACTAACTTTAGCCAATAAAATAAGGAAAACAATGTGTATCACATCTGAGCTGAATCTTCAATAACTAGCTAGTAGTTTGCCATGCCAATTTTTCCCTTGCCAGGAGACCAGCTATGTTCCCAGAGGCTGACCAGTCAGGCTAAGTTATAGTATGAAGATAATGTGGAATAGTCATAGCAATTTGGACAGATATGTAGTATGAGTGAAAACTGTATCTTTCTTGGGTAAAGACCCAGAGATTCTGTTATCATAGTTTATTCCAGCCAGTCCTGATAGGATGGCTAAATAGCCTGAATTTGAATATTAGTTCTACCAATTACTGGCTGAATTCAAATACAAGTCTGCATTTATTGTGTAAATTTAGCCTCCGTTTCTGTAAAACAGGATTATTAATGGTACCTAGTTCATAGGGTCATTATGAGGAATAAAAGACTTAAAAGATGAAATGGGTTATTTGTAAAGGACTTAGAATAGTGCCTAGCAAATACTAAGTACTGTATTAATATTTGTTAAATAAATCTGGGTGGGCCAATTGAGGTGGCTCCCACCTGTAATCCCACTACTTTGGGAGGCCAAAGTGGGAGGATTGCCTGAGCGCAGGAGTTCAAGACCTGTCTCTATAAAACAAAAAAATGAATGAATAAAAAAAAATGCGTGTGTGTATGTGTGTATGTATATGTGTGTGTATGTGTATTGTATGTGTGTGTGTATGTGTATGTATGTGTCTATAAAAACTGTCTAGGAGACATACAACAAAGTATTAACACAGTGAATTTAAGAATTTTCTTCTTTTTGTTTAGCCGCATCTTCTTTTCTGTAACAAATATGTATTTCTTTGTAATTAAAAATGTGTATTCAGCTGGTTACAGTGGCTCACACCTGTAATCCCAGCATGTTAAGAGGCTGAGGTGTAGATTGCTTGAGCCCAGGAGTTCAAAACCAGGCTGGGTAAGATGATGAAACATCTCTACAAAAAATACAAAAATTAGCTGGGCGGTGTGGCATGGGCCTGTAGTCCCTGCTACTCTGGAGGCTGAGTGGGAGGATGGCTTGAGTTTGGGGAGGTGGAGGCTGCAGTGAGCTGTGTTCACCTGAATGACAGAGACACTGTCTCGAAAAGAAAAAAATTGTATCCAAAAACTCCAAACTACTTTTGTAATGATAGTTTTTTTAAAAAAATTATAATTTAAAATGTATCACTTTCTTTATTATAATTTCCTATCACTTTGCAGAAATGTATCTCTAATTTCATTATGTAAGTCAGTAGAAAAACAGGTTTCAGTATATGAAAACTCTATTAATAGCAATTTTCTTGAACCATGGAATGGCAACACCTATAGCCAAAATCTTTAGAATGAAACTAAATGTTTAACTGGTGTTATTTACATATTACCTTGCATATGTGCCCTGAAAATGTTTTGATATCTAATGTGACTGAAATCTGTCTCCCAAAATAAGCCAGTTTAGTCATTAATAAATACCCTTGTTTCTCTGAATCAGGCTCAAAAGCCAATGAAAGATAAGCTGTGGTTTCTAATATTACAACCTTGGGGGAGATAGATCAGTGAGCAGCAGCCTTGCTTTTGATGGACAAAGATGAAGGTAAGATCAGGTCACTTGTTGGGCTTTTATCATTGCAACAATCTTCCTGCTCTCTGTATCCAACCATTTTTATTTGCCCTGGCTGGGAATGAAGCATTGGCAAGGATTTACACAGAAAAATAATGCCCAAAGAGCCGTCACAAAACCTGTATCTTTTACTAACCGAAGCCATCACAGCTGGAGAATGCCATGCCAAGAACAAAGGTGGGAGAGCAATGGGTCCCCTTTCTATTGTTTTTTTTTTTTTTTTTTTTTNTTTTTTTGAGACAAGGTCTCACTCTGTCTCCCAGACTGGAGTGCAGTGGCATGATCTCAGCTCACCAAAACCTCCACCTCCCAGGCTCAAGCGATTCTCCTTCCTCAGCCTTCTGAGTAGCTGGGATTACAGGCACACACCACTACTGCTGAGCTAATTTTTGTATTTTTAGTAGAGACAGGGTTTCACCATGTTGGCCAGGCTAGTCTCAAACTCCTAACCTGAAGTGATCCACCTGCCTCAGTCTCCCAAAGTGCTGAGATTACAGGTGTGAGCCACCACGCCTGGCCCCCCTTTCTATTTTTGTTCTCCATACTCATCAGATGAGCTTTTTTTTTTTTTGGTGGTGGCGAAGCAGGGGCAGGGGTGTGTACCTTGAGTCACCTGGAGAATACTGAGAAGACTACTCTGGACGGTACACATTTTATGACAGATACCTAATTCCAGGGAGGTCAAGTCTCAGAGCAGAAGGATGAATGACATTAAGCTAGTGGGAGGGGTGAAAAGAGGTTATTCTAAGTACAGGGAACAGCATGTAAAAAGCTCACCGTAAAACCGTAATAAATAAAACAAATCATCTACACAGAAAATAACTTATAAAATGTTTCTGAGTAATTAAAGGAGACCTAAACACATGGAAAGATATATTCATAGATTATAAGATTCAATCTTGTTAAGATATTCATTTTCCTGAAATTGATCTAAAGAGAACAGCCATGAGAAAATTCCTATCAAGTTTTTTTAAATTTAAAAAAGAAATTGACAAACCAATTCTAAGATTTACATGGGAATATAATGGATCCAGAACAGCCAAAATAGAGAAAAAAAAAATAAAATTGGAAGACAAACTACCTCATTTCCAGATTTACTATAAAGCTATAGCAATAAGATAAATAGATTAATGGAAAAGACTACAGAATTCAGAAATAGACTCATATATACATATCAACTGATTTTCAACAGAGGGGCCAAGGCAGTTCAATGAGGAGAGGAAGGGGTTTTTTAAAATGATGCTGAAACAACTATATATTCCTCAAAATCTACCTACCTCTATATGTGAATTTAATTTGAGATAGATCATATAACTAAATATAATAAGCTAGGACCGTAAGGTTTCTACAAAAAAATCTTAGGAGAAATCTTTATAATCTTAGAGTTGGTAAAATTTATTAGAAAATATTAATCATTAAAGTAAAAGGGTAAATTAAATTTTCATCAAAATTAAAATATTAATTATGAAAATAAGTAGGTAAGCAACAGACTGGCAAAATATTCTCAAAGTGTTTACCTGAAAGTATTTGATGGGAATATTTTATATCTGATTTCAGTGATGGTTGCGTGTATAGATACACACGGTTGTCAAAACGTCTCAAATGAATACTTAAAAATCTGTTATGGTATATAAATTAAACCTCAATGAAAAGAAGAAAGTCCAGAATAAAAGAGCATGTTGTTATCTATGGGCACAAATGACTAAAATACTCAGGGCTAATGGCTAATTCTTTTTAAAAAATTTATCCCAGAAAACAAGATTCCAAAATGTCTCCCACCCCACCAATACTACCTTGTAAAATATTCCTATATTTTAATCCAGAGTGATGATCAATGAAAGTGCTTCTCCTCATGATACATGTTACACTGGGGTTAAAAACATCAAAATAAATGAAATAAATCTCAAATGGAATACTTGGGACATGTAAAGGTTAAAGAATTAGCAGCATTGAGAAACGATGCATCATTTGTCTTTTAAAATGTTGACTGGCAGAAAAAGAATTTATAAATGATTGACATCTGAATTACAAATCCTGTGATAATACATTGTAATATAAAGAACTTAACTAATTCTTTAATCTTTTCCTTCTAGATGATTTACTTCCATAGGCAAAACATTATATCTTTTGCATCTCATCTTTGAATCTTGAAAAGAATCTAGGCCAAGGTCTTGAAAATACTAGATCCTTAATAATTACTTACAGACTTAAATTTATTAACTAACATACCTTTATTGTTAAAATTTGTGTCCAAATTCCACATTCCCATAATAGGAATTTTGTTGCAATTATTTAATAATTTGAACCAGTGATGATCTCATTTGGCAATTTATGGGATATTTATTTATTTATTTATTCATTCATTCATTCATTTATTTTGAGTCAGGGTCTCACTTCGTCAACCAGCCAGGAGTGCTGTGATGTCCTCGGCTCATTGCAGCCTTGACTTCCTGGGCTCAATCCTGCCTCATTTTTAAATTTTTGGTAGAGATGAGGTCTCATTATGTTGTCCAGGCTGGTCTTGATATCCTGGGCTCAAATGGTCCTCCCACCTTGGCCTCTCAAAGTGCTGAGATTACAGGTATGAGCCTCCATGCCTGGCAGAAATATATTTAAAAGGAGTATATTAAGTGCTATATAAGTTCAACTAACCCCAGCTTAAAAAAAATTATACTATAATTACCTGACTAGATTTTTTTAAAGTTATAGAAAAAGTACAATTGTTAAAAATATAAAAAACAAAAAAACTCCACTGAGTCTAGTTTCACTCCCCATGTGAATATCTAAATAAGTATAAAATAAAGGCTGTAAGTACACTGTTTTGAATTAAACATCACATTGGCAAGATCAGAAGAGCTTGTGAAGTGAGAAAGAAATTATTATTCCTGTGATGGAACCTCCACTAGTATTATTCTTTTGGCAGCTGAGACTTCAGGGGATTCTCACTATGAAAACCAGCAGTCCTTTAATCACACATTGTTAAGAGCATTTGTGATGCTGTGCAGGAAGCCTTTCTTCTAAGATTTTCCTGTTGCTTTTCTTCCTGAGCACAATAGATTCAAGATGGCTAATGCTGTTTCCTAGTTATGCCAAGAACCTCCTGAATGCTACTGGGCATCCAACGTGAAGACAGATGGCAAAATATCAAATGTGAATATCATTTTAAATGGGGATTCCCACAATCATGTTATTTTTGGGAGAGCAGCTCTCTGGCTCCATGGATATCACTTGAACGGAGTAGCCACATTCTTCTGCAGCTCTTGCTCGATCCAGATCCACCAAGCACATGCACTGTTTTCCTGAAATATAGTCAAATGGTATCATGAGAAACCCTTTCACTGGGAAGGCAATTTTGGTTTAAGGGAATCTACATAGTGACAAAATCTGCAAGTACTATGGAGCATGCTTTTTACCCCAAAGTCTTGTTTAGTTCCTTTCAATTTAATTCTTGATCAAGGTGGAAAGATGATGGTGACAAAAACATGGCACTTCATATATTTGCCTCTGCTAATAATTTAAGGAATGCTAACCTTTTCAAATGTATTTATAAACAAATCGCAAATTGGAGCCTCAGATTCTATTTCCTATGTCGGTTAAAAATACATTTAAAGACCTTTTCTCTGCTTTCCCTGTAAAACTACATTATCTGTAACATTGTAGAAAAAAAATCTGTCTTTAAGAATATTTAAAATAACATGCTGATTAAGGGCCGTCTGAAAGAACTTAGCTTTTCCGTCTGAAAGAAAATAGCTTTCCAGCTGAAGTTTTTTAGGGCTATGAAGAAGTGAGAAATGAAAAATATTTGAGAAAATTCTCAATTGTATGGCACTCATTTCAGGTGGAAATGTAATGTTGAGTGTAATATATTCTTACTTTTCCAAGCTCCTGTACCTCTGTAAAATAGTGGTATTCTATTTCCTTTACAATCTTTGGAAGGCAAAAGAGGAAACCTGACTGGCAAGCAAAGTGGTTAACTTGTTTTCCTTTGGCAAACACAAACTTTAAAAGTAGCTTGGGAAAAATGATTTGGGGCTGAATATATTCAAAGCCACGGTTTACTTTTTTATACTTTCAATTGCTCTAAATTCAATATATAAGCTTCTTCATCCTCCTGGAAAAAGATCACTGACCATGCAAAACTTCATTCTATTTTTCCTAAACAATTACAATACTGCCTAAACATTATCTGAATGACAGTGAAAACTGATAAACTAAGGCAGCTTCAGAAATGAAGACAGATCACTGAAATAGAAAAGTTCTATGAACAACAGAATCCACAAAAAAAAAAAAAAAAAAAAAAAAAAAAAAACAAAAAAAAAAAAAAAAAAAAAAAAAAAAAAAAAAACAGTGAAAGGTGAAATCAGTAGGTAAGAATTAGCAATGAAAGACTCATATTTAAAATGTTTACTTTGTACATTTTCCTTAAAAGGACCCATCCCACCAAGATTAAACTGTATTAGAAATGAAATAAAAAGAGACGTCTAGAATTCCATTTAGGCTAAACCATCCCTTCTTCATTAACAGTCTTGTAGTTGACATTCGTTTTTTTGCCCGTAAAATACTGTCCTTCCTTTAAGACATCTGTAAAGGTTTCTCCTATCTACTTTTTAGTTTAAAATGAAACATTATCTGTCAGAATGGGATGCTCTACATTCCTTTAGTACCCACCCCGGGTTTACATTGCAGCTCATTTACCCTTGGCTTTGATCCCAGTCCGGTTAATTTTTCCTTTTCCATTATGTAGAAGAATTTCATGCTTCAACATGTTGAAGTGTCTACAATTGAAATTTAGCTGCTGGTAGTCTACCTTTGTGGGCCTGGGGAGTTTCCTAAAAATGTTCACAGAACACAGGAATGGCCTGTGTAAAGCAGAGATGTAGACATGTGACAGCTTTCTCTCAATGTGATTCCCCCCATTCTTCCCATTGCCAAATGCTCCCCGCTACTCTAGCAATTTCCCTTTCAGCCATTCCCCTTTAATTTGATACCTAAAACACACATCTACCATGTACCCATCCATCTACCATATTAATTATGTCTTCACTGGATTTCTATCATTTGAGGTAATTAGGCCAAGAGGGTGGAGTGAATGAATGAATACCATTATCATCGTTCATTATCTAGAGTGTGGGTTCCTTATAAAAGGACACATTCAGCCTTCTCTTGCTCTCTCCTTCACCATGTGTTGCTTTTATCATGTTATGATGCAGGAAGAAGACCCTACCAGATGCCAGCCCCTTGATCTTGGACTTCCTAGCCTTCAGAAATGTGAGCCAAATAAATGTTTGTTCATTACAAATTACTGAGTTTATGGTATTATGTTGTATAGCAGTGCAAAACAGACTAAGACATGGGTCTAGTCAGTGGAATCTCTTCAAATATATATTTGATTAATTCAAAGTGCTAGTGATGGGAAAAGGAGGAGCAAGAAGGAAAGGCATTGAAAGACAAAGAGGTTGTAGGAAGAAGAGAATGAGTCCTTTCCAAATGTTTATGCTGCAGAGAGTGAGAAAGAGAAGGAAATCACTTACTCCCTCAGTCTCAGATCTCACGTGTTTCTCCAAGTGTGAGCATCTTGCTATGCTGCCTCTGATTTTAAAGACAATGATTTCTCATACAACTTGGTCTCTGAATGTAAGCTGCATCTGGTGCTCAGCCAAAGAAACAACAATCTGTTTTCTAGTATACCATGGAGGAAAAGGGGCTACACTGGAAATTTAGAGAAAAAATATGATGGTGTCCAATGTTGGGCTTCTCTGAATAATTTTAAGATTAGTTTTGACCGAACCCATTTTTCTTAAACTCTGATGTGACACCAGTATGCTGGGAAGCAGTAACTAAAATGGACAAGAACTTCATGTCCAGAATCAAATAATTTGGGTTCATAGCATAGCTCCATCATCTACTAGATGAAGGACCCCAGGCAAGCTTTTGTCTCCGTTTTCTTATCATTAAAATGTAAATAATAGTACCTACCCCATATGTATATTTGTAAGAATCTTCTGAGATAACAGGTGAGAGCATTTAGCTCAGTGCTTAAATGTAACTATTAACTGCTATTATTCTTTTAAATGTGATTTCTTTTTCTAAAGTGAGTCTTCAATCAATCAATTACTTATTAAACTTGAAATGCTTCTGTAGTCTTCCAATTTAGGTAATGTTTAATACTGCAAATGTCAAATAAATTGGTCTATGATAAATAATACATAAGTATCCTCTTTCCTAAGAAAGAAAACATTATCATCCTTGTGTATACACTGTATAATGCTCCAATTTTGGCATATATAGTTAACTTTTTCATCTTTAGTATTTTCTTTTGTGGCTTTAGATAGATCTTGCAGTTTGTTCGTAACGGTAAGAAAGATTTAACCTAAGAATTCTACTCAAATTACAAACATTGAAAATATATTCAAAATTATTAAAGTTAACCAAAATAGGATAAAATGTTATAGTTACAAAACCCTTTTCAATATGAATTTTTTGGGAAGAATATATTTAGTTTCTCATTGAAAAACAGACTTCTTGTTGATAAATTTTTCCCATATAGAATTGGTCCAATCATTCACAGTCATATTATGCATAATATACTCAACAGCTGCTCTATGAAAACACATACCTATGAGCCTTCGTTGGGGTGGGAGCTGGGCAGCTGTCTGGTCTGCAAATCTGCACAGAATCATGTGTTCCTAAAAGAAAAAGCAATAGGATGTAGGTTTATTTTTATCTTCTGCTTCAAAGTTGCAAAAACAACAACCAAAAAGCTACCTCATTTTTCTGGAGTTCAACATTGTTTAACTGAATAAAGTACTACACAAATAGCACTTTTGAAAAAAGTAAACTTTCAGAAAATGGTACTTAATAATTTCTTTCCTTCAGATACACTGTGTTTTTTTGTTTTGTTTTGAAACAGAGTCTCGCCATCGCCAGGCTGGAGTGCAGTGGCGTGATCTCAGCTCACTGCAATCTTTGCCTCCCAGACTCAAGTGATGCTCATGCTTCAGCCTCCCATATAGTTGGAACTACAGGTACGTGCCACCGCACCTGCTAATTTTTGTATTTTTAGTAGAGACGGGGTTTCACCATGTTGGCCAGGCTGGTCTTGAACTACTGGCCTCAAGCGATCCACCCACCTCAGCCTTCCAAAATGCTGGTATTACAGGCATGAGCCACCATGCCTGGCCCAGATGTAGTTCTTAAGAACAGATACACAGAAAATTCTCAGAGACATTTTGCCCAGTTGCTTTTAGCTGAAATATAAAAATATGGTTATATTTTGCTATTACTGTAAAATGTGTTAAATTAAAAGACCTAAAATTTACTTATTACAAAATGTATTTGAAACTCTGGAACATGGCTCCAGGCAATCTTACTAAGTGGCTTTTCTTTCTTTCTTTCTTTTTTTCTGAAATGGAGTCTTGCTCTGCCGCCCAGGCTGGAGTGCAATGGCGCGATCTCGGTTCACTACAACCTCTGCCTCCTGGGTTCAAGTCATTCTCCTGCCTTAGCCTTCCAAGTAGCTGGGACTACAGGTGCACACCACCATGCCCCACTATTTTTTTTTTTTTTTTCAGTAGAGATGGTGTTTCATCATGTTGGCCAGGGTGGTCTTGAACTCTTGACCTTGTGATCCTCCTGCCTTGGTGTTCCAAAGTGCTGGGATTATAGGCGTGAGCCATCACATGTGGCCTGCTAAGTGGCTTTTCATTTTATCAGAGGAAAAGGAAGCAATGCAGATCACTGTGTGGCTTCTGTAATTCTCTGGTATATCCAGCAGGGTGCTAGTTAGTTCTTGATTTTTCCCGACTCTTCCCTTCACTCAGTCCTTTTAGAGGAGAGAAGCCTGAATCTCCTCCTCTCACTCTAAAGGCTGCAGGAAGTGTATCCCTTTCTGCTTTAAGACAAACTGTAAAGATGGCCTGAGGGAAAGATGTGATTATTACTACTGCTTAACAATTTTAGGAGAGAGTATATTAATCAAAAAGAAAAGAAGGCTTTAAAAGCACAGAGTTGATGATTTTGCACAGTACTTTTAAATGTGCATGTAGCCAAAAGTGAGTGATTAGGCAGAGTGGAAATGAAGCAATGATCCCTTGACAACTGTTCATTCAGAACAGCTGTCGTTTCTAAGCATGTACATGATGTCACCTGTCAGCTTAGCAAACAGGTTAAACTCAGATTCATCAATTGTTCCTTTAGTATTCTGTACATTACATTTGAAGCCTCCATTTTTAATAAGTGAAATGATTGTGGCAATGTTGGTTTTTTAAAAAGGGATATCTTTGTCTCAACTTTTATGCTTTTTTTAAAAAAACGTTTTAATGCTCACTATAAAATTTCATGACAATGGGTGGGAAATTAATAAAATAGTTTGAATTAATAACTTTAAGTCCCCACAAACTAACAGGCATCAATGAAGGGAGAGAAGGATAATTTAGAATTACATGACTTGAAGAAAAAGTATGCACTTTGTCCTCATGGTGTTTGTAAATTAAAATTCATTTTATATAATGGTAATATCAAGTGAATTATAATCTCACATAAGATTCAGTTCTCTTGTACTGATAAGTCTCACCATTTTTTATTGGAATTATTTGTGTGCATGTTCCCTTTAGTCAAAATCAAGTTCTGAAAGGGCAAGGCACATGGTTAGTACTCAGTAAAGGTTGCTGTCTAAATTGAACTGTAGAGAAAAACACTTCCAGAGTGACTCTCAAGGTATCTGGGCACAAAGTTCTGAGACCTTCAAAAGTCCAAGTAGTTTTGGGGGATGTTGGAGAAAGAGTAGATAAAGGTTATGACTGGTGCACTGGGGAGTTTCTGCTTTCTAAAAGATTTTGTATGCCTCATCCCCACTGTAGAAATTTTACATTATATTTCTAGCCAGGAGCCCATGGACAGCCTATCTCCTTGCCACCTTTGATTTTTTCCATACATACTCTCATTGTTTGGTTTAACTAACATCACTCAAAGAGGGATCAGAAACAGGGGTCTAGTTTTGTTTTCCCAATTTCTTTTCTTTGTTTTTTTTTTCTTGAGACAGTGTCACTCTGTCACCCGGGCTGGAGTGCAGTGGTGCAGTCTCAGCTCACTGCAAATTCTGCCTCCCAGGCTCAAGCGATTCGTGTGCCTTAGCCTCCCAAAGGATAATTAGAATTATTATTAGGGGTCTCATATCTTCTGCCAGGATCCACTGGCAGGCTACCTTGTTAGATGAGGTTTCACCATGTTGGTCAGGCTGGTCTCAAATTCTGTTCTCAAGTGATCTGCCTGCCTCAGCCTCCCAGAATGCTGAGATTAAAGGCTTGAGCCACTTAGCTTGGCCTGTTATCCCAATTTATTTTCTAATTTATTGGCATAGCCTTGTGAGAGAAAGGTGAGATGTTTTGAATGTTATGTAAATAAAAGTTCTTGGGTCCTAATGTTTCCTCTAGAATTATATAGTTTCCTAAAATATGTACACTTTGTAATCTAGTAGGCAAAGGCCAGCAATGTTGTGGTTTTGGCTGAAAGCACGAACACTAGAAGTCCTCCTTTCACCATACCTCTCCATATATGTGTACATTTGTATAGGGTGCAGGGATGGTAGGAAGGGGGGTAGGTGTGGGTAGCACGTAAGGTGGTAAGAGACAGAGCTGGAAGTGGGCATTTTAAGAGTTATAAATCAGGGATGAAGGAGATATAGCTGCTGAGGTGGTTGCAACGAACTTTTTAGGTCACTATACCTTACTATATTTCAATTGTTTGATGGAGGAGAAAGTAAAAGTCCTAAAATATAGGGGCTGGTATGCAAAATGAGACTACATCTTTAGTGAGTCTGTGCAAAAAAAGTGGCATTAACTAACTAAGAATCCAAATGAATTTATCAACTTCTTTTTTTAAATTTTTATTTTTTAATTTTTTTAAAAAAGAAAAAAAGTAAAAAAAAAAAAGAAAAAAAAAAAAAGAATTAAAAAAAAAGAATGAAAGAGAGGAAGAAAGAGGAAGAGGGAGAGAAACGGGGGTGTTGCTTTATTGCCTGGGCTAGAATGCAGTCTAAAAATGGGTATGCCTATAATTGTGCTTAATAATAGAGACATGAAAAAAAAAATGAGGAAGAAAATAACAAACAAGCAGCCAATCAATATTTCATTTAAACCTGTAAATAGGTGTGATGTGGTACTGATAAGAGTGCTATATTTTGTGTATTTAAAATGGAGAGTTCTATAAATTTTAATTAAGTTTACTTGTTCCAGATCTGAGTTCAAAACCTGGATATCGTTATTAATTTTCTGTCTCACTGATTAGTCTAATATTGATGTTGAAGTCTCCCACTATTATTGTGTGGGAGTGTAAGTCTCTTTATAAGTCTTATATATCTGGGTATTCCTGTATTGGGTGCGTATAAATTTAGGATCTTTAGCTCTTCTTGTTGCATTGATCCTTTTGTCATTATGTAATATCCTTCTTTGCTTCTTTCGATCTTTGTTGCTTTAAAGCAACTCCTGCTTATTTATTTATTGATTGATTGATGCTCTCCATTTGGTTGGTAAATCTTTCTCCATCTGTTTGTTTTGAGTCTTTGTGTATCCTTGCATGTGAGATGGGTCTGGATGCAGCATACCCATGGGTTTTGGCTTTTTTGGCTTGTCTATGTCTTTAGATTGGGGGATTTAGTCGATTGAAATTTAGAATTAATAATAATATATGTGAGTTTAATACTGCCATTTAATGTGAGCTGGCTGTTTTGCCCATTAGTTGATGTAAATTCTTGATTATGTTGATGCTTTTTACTTTTTGGTATTTTTTAGAAAGGCTGATACTGGTTGTTCCTTTCTATGTGTAGTGGTTCTTTCAGAAGCTCTTGTAAAGCAGGCCTGGTGGTGATGAAATCGCTGAGTGCTTGCTTATTCACAAAAGTATTTTTCCTTTGCTTATGAAGCTTAGTTTGGCTGGATGCAAAATTCTGGGTTGAAACTTCTTTTCTTTAAGGGTGTTGAATATTGTCCCCTACTCTCTTCTAGCTTGTAGGGTTTCTGCTGAGAGATCTGCTGTGAGTCTGATAGGCTTCCCTTTATGGGTAACCTGACCTTTCTCTCTGGCTGCCCTCAGTATTTTCTCCTTCATTTCAACCCTGGTGAATCTGGTGATTATGTGCCTTGAGGTTGATCTTCTTGAGGAATATCTTTGTGGTGTTCTCTGTATTACCTGGAGTTGAATATTGTCCTGCCTTGCTAGATTGGGAAAGTTTTCCTGAATAATATCCTGAAGCGTATTTTCCAGCTTGGATTGATTCTCTTTGTCACATTCAGGTACACCTATCAAGCGTAGATTAGGTCTTTCCACATAGTCCCATATTTCTTGGAGACTTTGCTCGTTCCTTTTTATACTTTTTTCTCTAATCTTGTCTTCTCATTTTATTTCATTAAGTTGGTCTTCGACCTCTGATATCTTTTCTTCTGCTTGATCGATTCGGCTGTTAAAACTTGTGCATAGTTCGCGAAGTTCTCGTGTTTTTCAGCTCCATTAATTCACTTATATTCCTCTCTAAATTGTGTATTCTTGTTAACATTTCGTCAAACCTTTTTTCAAAGTTCTTAGTTTCTTTGCAATGGGTTAGAACAAGTTCTTTTATTTCACTGAAGTTTCTTATCATCCACCTTTTGAAGCCTGCTTCTGTTAATGGAACACACTCGTTCTCCATCAGGCCTTGTTACATTGCTGATGAGGAACTGTGATCCCCTGTAGAGGGAGAGGCCTTCTGATTTTGGGTATTCTCAGCCTTTTTAGGCTGGTTTCTTCCCTTCGTTATAAATTTATCCATCTGTGGTCTTTATAGTTACCATCTTTATAATTTGGTTTCTGAGTGGACGTCCAACTTGTTGATTCCCAGCGCTAAAATCTGAGCAACCCACTGTGCTGGCCAAAACAGCGGCGTTAAGATTGATGGTGCTTTTCTGACTCTGCACCAAGAACCGCCGCACCAAGGCAGTGGCAAAACTGCCTCGCTGGCCACAAAAGTCAGGCTGTCGACCCGTGGGGCTCCTCCACTGGAAATCTCCTGGTGCATGAGCAACAAAAATTTGTCTGAAAGTGTGGCATCCTCTTGTTCTCTGCACTTTCACTGGTAGCTACAATCCTGAGCTGCTAGTGATCAGCCATCTTGGATCTCTCTCCCGAATTTATCAACTTCTAATGGAATTATTTATATATTTTTCTCAAATATTATAATTTCTTAAACTGTTATTATATCATGCTATTGACCAGTTAAAAATTTGATAGTGGTGATGTATAGGAAGCTAGAAACTGTTTTGATCAGATTGGTGACTAAAAACTATATATGTTCTGACTACTTTTGAAAGACAATTCTACATGGGTCTCTTGTGTTTCTTCATGTTTTACAAGGAAGGACACTGAGTGTCTTTGTTCTAGACCAGTAGTTAGCAAGGTACGGCCCACAGGCCAAATTCAGCCTATGCCCAGTTTTTGCATTGTTTGTGAGTTAAGGAAGTTTTTATATTTTTAAAGAGTTGTAAACCACCACCAACAAAAACAATAAGAATGTCAAGGACAATGAAGAAGAATACTGGGAGATTCGTTGTGGCCAGCGTAGCCTAAAGTATTTACTATCTGGCCTTTTACAAAAGAATTTTTGTCTGTTCTAGATTATCTTCTCAAGCATGTTTGCAGAGTAAACAGCCTTGGAAAATACATATTATCTCCCTCTGGAACAAAAGGGCAGGTATTACCTGGCCCATTTGCTTCTGCCCTGTGGAAACTGGACAGCAGAGAGTCAGTGTTAAAACAATGGTATTGTGGCTACCACTATTGCCATGAGCAACAAATTGTCTTCTGTCTCTGACTCAGGGGTCTCATATCTTCTGCCAGCATCCTCTGGCAGGCTAACTTGTTAGATTGTAAGTAGAGTTAAAATCTCAGACCCTTCACAAATATTGTTACCTACTTTAATAGTTAATCTGGATTTGCAAAAGCAAGCCATATTAGACATTCATGAGTTATTCAGTTATAACTATATTTACTCCACTAGAAATATGAGAGTAAGAAATACAAAGGATAAAAAGTGTATTAGGATGACATCTAGATCTTTTTAAGGTTACCTTGTATGATAAAGTTTTCTTGAATTGTTCACTGAAATAGAAAAAAAAAGGAATTAGTCATCATTTTAAATACTATTAAGAGTAAAATAATCTTGAAGAAACTAAACTATAAATAAAAATATGTTTTGTATGTAAAAGCATAAAATGCTATGCTGAAGTAAAAACTATGCCAGTTTGAAATGCTTTTATAAAAAGATAGAAATGCGTATCATCAGTATGTTATTAATTTTAATAAATCTATTTCACAGATTGTTTACACTGTTAGAGAAGCATCTTTTTTCTCTTCCCCTCTTGGGAACACCCAGATCCAGGTGGTTTAACATGTGGGTTTTACTGTTATTCAGGTGTGGCACAGCCAATAGATCATGAGAGGGCTGCCACTGAAAAGATACTTTATCACTCACAGTTCCCCAAGAAGAGGGGGCATGCAATGTGACAAAGGGCCACTTGGGGAAACACCAGTATAGGTCAGGAGGCAGAGATTTCCATGGGAAGAGACAGGTGAGGTAAGCAAACTTGGGAGTGGCTGGTTTGAATAATTTCTGTGAACTCAGGCATAGGGCTATTCCTACTTGTTTGGTATCTGGCCTACAGTAGTTGGGCAGGGGGATGCTGGCCTGGAATAAGAGCTTGATAAAGGAAGTACTTGTGGGGTAAGGGCTCTGGGTTGGTTGCTTTGCTTATGCAAGGTATGCTTGTTGATAAGACCTTTACTATCTATAGGAACTGGCTAGCCCTGGGAGGAACAGTCTCTCCAGGATCAGTAAACAATAAAACATATGAAAATTTAAAAAGGCATGATTAATATGTCAGGAAATCACTGTTGTCACAGCTAATAAAGATAAACATACATTTGATAAACATTATCTTTTATTAATGCTATAGCCTTTACTCTTGATTAAGTCAATCAAAAACATAGACTTATAAATATGATGCTAAATTCATTAGTGCCAATTAGTTTGTTTGAAATGAGTACTTCTTTCCATGTACTGTAGAAACAGTATGCTATTTATAAATTCCCAAATCTGTTTTTGGTGATTGAGACAGGTCTTATTCACAAATAAGCTTTCTAAAGATATCAAAGGACAAGGAGGAATAATGTAAAAAAAAAAAAAAAAGGTGTGAAAAAGACAGGAAGTGGTAGTAATGTACTGTCAAGGCCACCAGAAGGGAAAAGGGGATGGATAAAATAGCCAAAGGAAATATGTTGGCAGCCCAAGCAGCTAAATCAACAGCAAGAAGGCCCCAGATTTTTGGTCCAGTTGAGGCCCCTCTGATCTGGGAGGGCTTCATGAAAGAAAGAAAACCTCAGTATTCCTCCATGGAGATAGAATAGGCTACCTCTCTAGGATACACACTTGAGTCCTCAGGATGGCTGCAATTGGAGGACAGCAAGCTTCATCTACCAGCTTCCAACCAATGGAAAGTTCTTAAAATCCTCCACCAAGCCTTCCACCTAGGTAAGGATAAAGTGGTCCAAAGCTTTTTCTCAGGTAAAAATCTGCTAAAGATGGTCAAACAAGTTGTTGATTCTTGTGGGACTTGCCTTAAAAATAATCCCCTCAATTGATGGCTTCCCCCATTAGAACCCAAAGAATGGGAGAAGCTACACAGATGCAGATAGGCAAATGGATTTCACCTATATGCCAAAGACAAGGGGCATCCCGTACCTCCTAGTATGGGTAGATACATTCACTAACTGGGTAGAAGCAGTTCCATGTCAAACAGAGAAAGCTTCTGAGGTGATACAAGTACTAATTAATGAAATAACTCCTCATTTTGGACTTCCTACATATCTCCAGAGTGATAATGGCACCTCATTCAAGGCAGCTGTCGGCCAGTAGGTAGAGGGGTGGGGTGGGGGTCTCAGAGGCACTAGGCATACAATACCATCTTCACTGTGATTGGAGACCACAATCCTCAGGAAAGGTAGAAAAGACAAATATTATTATCAAAAGGTACCTCAGAAAACTATCTCAAGATACTCATCTCTCCCAGATTACTCTTCTCTGCATAGCCCTACTAAGTGTTAGAAACACCCCTTCAAAGCTGGGTTAAAGTCTCTTTGAAATGATGTATGGACAGTCTTTTCTCATCAATGATTTCCTGCTATACCAAGAAACCTCTGATTTACTAAACACGTAACTTCTTTGGCCTGTTTCCAACAGGAACAGAAATAACAATCAGAGGCCCAATCCCGAGAACTAGGGACACCTCTATTCAACCCAGGGGACCTAGTACTTGGAGGGGCTCTTCCTTCTCTTTCTTCCTCTCTAGGCCTGGACTAGGGTGGGGACCTTAGACTGTATTTCTTTCTACTCCCATTGCAGTAAATGTCACTGGAATAGATTCTTGGATTCATTACACTTGAATAAAGGCTTGGGGAACTGACAAAATTACCTCTGTTGACCCAGGAGAGCACCCAAAGTACCGGAGTGAAGAAATCAGGAACCTCAAGCTAACAATCACAAAAGATAAGTGCTCAACAATTAACCCTCCACAGATATCTTATGCTTACTGTTCTCACTTTTGTTCTGTTCCTCATGAAATGCATCTTTGTCAAGTATCCCTTAATCCTGAACTCCCAAGAGATTTATCTACTCCTATAAAGTTATTATTATTTCTTTTTTAAAGTTACTTCTGTTATCTTTGGCACTAGATGTTTTCCTTCACATACTTAACCTTCTTGTAAAATTGTTTCTTCTTACCTAGAGGCCATCAAACTCTAAGCAGCCATACAACTGGAGCCTCAAACAATGGCTCCCTTTTTACCAGGGACCCTTGGGCCTCTGAGAGAGATCTGACTGCCATTTTCCCCAAAACAACGCTCCCTATCAGCATGAAGCAGTTAAGAACAGTCATCATCCCTATCCTAACTGCAGTTAAAGGTACCTCTTCAGAGGGGGGATTGATGGTAGCAGTAGCCCATGTGGAGTGGTCACTGCCATGACACTGGCTGCAGTGGAGGGGGTGTGCCTGGGGCTGCACACTCCATGGAGCTGGTGGGAACTCCGCCCTCCCAGACACAGCTGCAGCTGCTCATCCATGGCTGAAGACCTGGGCATCTCCACAGTCTCAGGAGCCCAGTGAGCCATCCTGCCTCTGCAGGCTCAGAAGTGCCTGCTCCCACTGCCTGACTTCTCCTCACTCCCAGTGCCTGCCCCAGTTTCAGAGCAAAGTTGAGGTTGAGCCCAGGTGCAGTAGTGACCTGGCCAGGTGTACATGTACTCAAAGTGGTGCTGACATGCCAGCCCCCTCTGCCTCAGCCTCCTCTTGACTTTGGGCGCCGATGAGAATGGGAGGAAGGTGGGCAAGGAGGGACTGAGGGCAGCTTGACATGGGCCTGCAGGCACCCCTTGGCACAAACAGCCTGGGTGCTATGGGCCATGGATAGCAGGTTGATGGCAACAGGAGGCAGACAGGCTCCTGGGTGGAAAGGGGTGGGTCCCCCGTGAAGCCCCACCATCAACCTAGGAATGGTCCAAAGCCTGGGGCCCAAGCTGCCAGCTCCATGTAGCAAAAAGAAAACTTATAGTGCTTTTTCCAGGCCCACCCAGGGCGGCTCATGGGCCAATCAGCATACACTTCCTCCCTGCTGAAGTCCATAAAAACTCTGGACTCTGCCAGATTTGGGAGACAATGGACGACCTGCCTGTAGAGAAAAGCTACCCACTCTGGGTTTCCTCTCTGCTGAGGGTTGCAGAGATGATGAGATGACCTGCTTGCAGACAGCAGCTACCCATTGTGGGTCTCCTTCCACCTGAGAGCTAAGCAGAGGTCAGGATGACCTGCCTGCAGAGAAGAACTACTCACTGTGGATCTCCTCTCTGCTGAAAGCTGGGCAGACACTGGAGTGACTTGCCTGTAGAGAGGAGCTACCCTCTGTGGGTCTCCTCTCAGCTGAGAGCTGAGTGGACATCAGGATGACCTGTCTGTGGAGAGGAGCTACCCACTTTGCATCTCCTGAGAACTGTACTGCTGCTCAATAAAGCACCTCTTTGCCTCACTCATCCTGCAGTTTTCTGTGTACCTCATTCATCCTGGTTGTGGGACAAGAACTCAGGACCTGCTAAATGGCAGGACTAAAAGAGCTATAACACAAACAGGGCTGAAACACCCTCCCCGCCCCTAAACACACCCACTTGCCATGTTGCAAGCATGAGAAGGAGAGAAGGGAGAAGGAAAGAGAGGTGGCCCTTTGGGGAGACCAGACATAGGAGCTCCCCGAGCCAGGACTGTGACAGTGACTCTGTGGCTCCGGGTATTTTCAAGCTTCTGGGAGGCCACCGTGTTCCCTAGTGCTCACAGTGGAAGCTGCTTGCAGTACACCTGGTTCAGCTGCAGCGTTGCAGGGAGCCAGCACCCATGCTGTTGCCTGGAGATGCCTGCCCCGCAGCAGCCAGCATACCTGGCTGTATGCAGTGGCTGGACCCTGTGCTTGCTCACTCATGCACCCCTCACCACTTTGTACCTTACTTGCACTAGGCAGGTGTGGAATCTGGGCCAGTAGTGTGAGCCAAGAGCAGCCTGCCAAGCTGAGTGAGTGGAATGAGCCCAGTGGGCCTAAGTAAAACTTGGGCAAAGGTGCCACCGGCCACAGAGGTTCCAGCTGGCAAAGCGATGCCCCAAGGATCTTTTGACATTACTACTGTTATTAGCAACAGTTCACATTTATTGAGTTACTCTTGGCACTTCTAAAGGCTTTACACATATCACTAAATTTTCACAAAAACCTTGACGTAGTTATTACCATAACCCTCATTTTGTAGATGATACAACTAAGACAAAAAGAGTTTAAGTAATTTGCCTGAGGTGAAACAACTTATACAATGATAAGGAGCTGCTATTTTCCCCCAGGCACTATACTTCCAGCTCCTAAACACTTGACTATACTCGACTGCCTCTCAAAGATACTATGATTATAGTTTTAATTTTATTTAGAAAAACAGAGATAAGTGCTAAAGCTGATAGACTTCTAGTTGGCTGACTCCTGGATAGCCTTGCTTCTAAATTTCAGCAAAAACTGGATCCAGGAGAAAAATCAGGGACAAACACAAAGGAGTTCTTCTCTTCCTTGTACAATTTATAAACAATATTTGGCATTGTGGAAAGAAGAAATGAGCTCAAAATGAAATCTCATTGCAACTTCATATCAAACAAGTTTTGCATCCTGGCTTACACCCATGTTGGTGTCTTAGGTAGAACACTGAATTTCTCACCTTTTTGGAAAATTAAACTTTGAGGTGTTCTGAATGAAACCATAACAGCAAGGGCATGTGACGAAGGAAGCCCGTGTTTTGATACAGTGCTCAATCACCATGTCTGTTGCCACTCCACAAGCATGCAACGCCACCTGGAAAATAAAACCAGGCCTTAGCACTAAGTTCCCACTTAACTCACGGTGCAATTTTCGTGCTTTTAAATAGTTCTCATTTGTTCATGCCAAAGGATTACTTAGCTATACATTTAAATTAAAAAAATTAAGCAAGATTGAAAGACTGCAAATAGAATATTGCAAATAAAGCATAAGATTCATTTAATGGAAAATTTGATGCAATTTTAGTGCGGAAAAATTAACATGTGGATATCTAAACTATAGTATTGTAGAACACTAGATTTGAAATGAGAATTTCAGGTCTGCTACTCTGGCGGGCTGTGTAGCCCTGAGCCACTTTAAATGTAGCTTCTTTGGGCCTTAATCTCTTCAACAATAAATTATGGTTAACAATACTGACATATCACAATGCTGTTGCAAAAATTAAATAAAAGTGTATTTGAAAACACTTCCTCAAGTGCCATATGCATATAATCTAATCAGGGCTGCATTAAAACTGACTGAATCATATTCATGTAGTGCCTTTCAAGATATTTTCACATAACAATCCTTAACATTGAATGATGAGTTACAGGAACTATTTTCAATGAGTTTATTTTAAAAGGAATGAATCAAATTATGAATTACAATAATGAGTGGGGCTTCAATAATTCATGAAAATAAAAATAACTCTAAATATGATTTAATGTTTTAAAAACACATCTCCTTAAATATATCTATACTTACTATATTATACTTACTACAGTATTACTAAGAATGAGATAATTATGGAAATTCTTAGGCCAAATAAAGCCTAAATAGGACTCTGAATGAAAATCAGATGTGGGGATTCTAAAAGATGAATAACCTTTACTGGATTTTGCCAAAAAAAAAAAAAAAAAAAAAGATGCTCACATCTCCATTTCATTCTGAACAGACACAAATTGTAATGAATTATAATTTTCCCTCACCAATTTCAGGGTTGGGAGGGGCTCTCAGGGTAAAAGGGAGATTTTCTGTAAATTCTGGAAAGTAAAATATATATTTTTTTGAGAAGGAGTTTTGCTCTTGTTGCCCAGGCTAGAGTGTAATGGCACAATCTTGGATCACCACAACCTCCGCCTCTTGGATTCAAGCGACTCTCCAGCCTTAGCCTTCTGAGTCGCTGGGACTACCGGCATGTGCCACCACCCCACCTAATTTTGTATTTTTAGTAGAGACAGGGTTTCTCCATGTTGATCAAGTTGGTCTCGAACTCCCGACCTCAGGTGATCCACCCGCCTTGGCCTCCCAAAGTGCTGGGATTACAGGCGTGAGCCACTGTGCCCAGCAAAAGTAAAATATTATAAGCCAGATTCCCCTTTGAACAGGAAAGCTAAAAACAATACTATATTAGGAAGAGGAAAGGAAGATCCCTGTTCTTAATCCTCCTCCTGAATTTCTCCCCCTCTTTCTAGACTTACATGGGCCAAACAGAAGTCAACAATCTCCATGATGCTGTCATCCCACTTTTCCTGTTTCACTCTGAAAACAGCCTAGGAAGGCTGCTATCCAGTGAAAGCAGCAACAACGACATGGAATGGGAAAGTAAATAACCTTGATTTCTCATCTGCTCCTTTTACTTAGCTTTTCAGAGTAAAAAACAGGCTAATCCTTATTTTCATGACTAGCTGGAGAAAATTTTATAGTAAAAATTATAGACGCATCTTCCCCTGGAGGGAAAGGGAACTGACATTTACTGAGTGTCTTTTATGTGCTGGCACTATGCTATGCTGAATGATGGCACTCAGAACTGTGATCACAACATCCTTGAAAGACTTTATTATCTCCATTTTAGAAGTAAGGAAAGAAGTCTTGGGAAATTAAGAACTTGCTCACAACAAAACAGCTACTGAGGGGCAGGATGCTGACCTCAAAGTCTGACCCCCTGCATTAATCGCATCAGGCTGCTTCTCTACAAAACCCTCTTCAGGCTCTGAGCAAAAAAGAGTTTAGACAATTTACTTTTATAAGTCTCTCTTTAGTTAAGTTCACATTCCTTTTGCTACATGCAAAAAAGTGAGTTTATTTCCTTCATTTAATCAAAATAACTTGAAGAACTATTTACACAATAGTTTATAGATAATGTAATAATTGTCTACTAATAATAGGATTTTGGTGTACAAGGTCTTATTGCATCACATACTCCTAGTTTTCACTGTTATCAAATGAAATTCAGAAATAAAGGGAAATAAGAGAGATACAGTACAATAAAATCCTTTGATATGTAAATTTATCCTACAATAAAGGCGGTATTTCAAACCGGGGGAGAAAGGATGGACTTTTTAATGAGTGATGTTTGGTTAACCAGATAGTCATATAAAAAATAAAAATTAGATCTTTTCTTCCTGAATGCATTAGAGATTTAAAATGCAATACATATGACAGGAGTAAATTCCTGTACAACCAAGGGGAAGTACTTCCCAACTATAGCTAAAAATCTACATGCAATAAGGGGTAAGGTTAATAAATCTGACAAAATATTGATTGATTGATTGAGACACAATCTTGTCACCCAGGCTGGATTGGAGTGCAGTGGCACAATCTCGGCTCACCACAACCTCCCCTCCCAGGTTCAAGCAATTCTCCTGCCTCAGCCTCCTAAATAGCTGGGATTACAGGTGCTCGCTACTACATCCAGCTAATTTTTGTATTTTTAATAGAGACTGGTAGAAAATCAAAAACCGTAAGTAAAAAGACAAATGACAAAGTAGGGAAAAGATTGACAACTTATAGCACAAATAAAAGGTTTACATCCTTAATATATAACAAACTTCTAAAAAGAAAGAAGCAGCCCAATAAAGTGAGAGTAAAATGAGTAAGAGATGTGAACACACAAACAAAAACAAACAAGTAGTCCTTAAACAAAAGTTGGTCAATATGGCTCCAAGTAAGAAAAATAATTGTGAATTTTTTTTTTCACAAAGAGCCAAGATTTAAACTCAATCTGTCTAACTCCAAACCAGCTTCTTTTTTCTAGTTCTCTATGCTCCTATTTACTCCTTTCTTTAGACATGGGAAGTAAACAGGGAGCCACTGCCTGGACTTCCCAGCTCTCACATTGACTTGCTACGTCAATCTTCCTTTTTTGTAGCTTCAAATTCTCTACTTGTAAAAGGAGAAAGTTGAACTGAATGATCTCTAAACTTGCCCCAGCCCAATCATTCTCTCAAGGATTGCTTTTCAAAGAGGATTCTTAACTATAGATACCTTAGAAAGAGAAGCGGGCTAGTCCCAAATATGTACTCTTGTTCCCCTTCTTTTAAGATTTTCATACAACAATATTATAGGTAATCACCTTTAAAATTTAAATAATGCTAAAAGATATACAATTATATTAAAAGTCTCTTTTTTGTACACACTGCCACATCCCTGAAAGAAAATATGTGTACCAAAGTCAATGCTGTTCAATACATTGGTTTACTTCCTGAAAATGTTTTTCTATATGACGAATGTATATTGATATCTCTTTATTTGTAAATATTAGATAATATTTATTATCTTTTTACTATGAGAGAAGAGCTTTTTGGCTTTTTTTGCACATTTATACACTCTCTTCCCTTTCCCATCCTTTTCTCGTGGCTTTGTATATACTGTTCACTGCTGAGGGAAGTGTGCTGGATATTAGGGTTTCTGTTCGTTTTTTAACATCCAAGCCTTTCCCTACCCAAAAGCTCTGTAAAATGCTCTACCATATAATTTTCCACTGTCTGAAAACTTTCAAATAATTGGTCAGCTACATTTTTCTTTCCTAGAGACATCTTTCCTGGGCTTTCTGACCTTTTACTAAAATATGGACTCAATGCCTTCGAGGCCTATTGCCCAGCTCTTGCCCTAATACATCCCTCTCCCATGATACTAATAATTTTTCTCTTGTATTAGATACCACTGATTCCTTTTTCTTATTTACTTTCTGTTTTAATGAACCACATTTTCCAGTAGCTTGCTGAAAAGGGGTACATACAATATACATCTTATTGAGAGCTTGACTATATGGAACTTTATTTTACTTTTTTTTTTAACTATTAGACATGGAATTTTAGATTAGAAATTTTCTGTCAGAATTTTCAAGGTATTGTTTCACTGTCATCTAGCCTTCCACACTACTATTAAGAAGTGTGATACTGTTTCTATTCAAAATTATTGTATATCATTTTCTTCCTCTCTGTGGAAAGAGTTGGGAATATCTGTTCACCCTTGGTGTCCTGAAATTTCACAATGTGCCTTGGCTTAGGTCATTTTGTAAGTTAACTTTATCAAGAGAAATGCATTCATAATTATTAACACATTTTCCTATACATTTTCTTTGATGTTTTCCTCCTCACCATTTACCAGTTTTTGTTTTCTGGTCCTGCTATTACTGAGGTATTTGATTCCTGGACTAAATCTCTAATTTTAAAAAATGTGTTTCTTTCTAGTTTCTATTTCTTCTTCTTTTTTTAGTTCTTTTTTTCAAGTGATATCCTATATTTCTTCTTTTAAAAAAGACCTCTCTTAATTTTTAATTTGTTTTTAATTTTGGCTAACATATTTTTATTTTTCAAGAAGTCCCTTCTTGTTCTCTGATCATTCCCTCTTTTTCTATTATATCCTTGTTTCACTAATGTATTATATTCTCTAGCCTCTCCCTGATTAAGACCCTTTATCATGTTTGTTGCATTGGTCTTGACATGGTTTGGCTGTTTCCCCACCCAAATTCCATCTTGAATTGTAGCTCCCATATTTCCCACATGTTGTGGAAGGGACCCTGTGGAAGGTAATTGAATGATGGGGGCAGGTCTTTCCCATCCTGTTCTCACTATCTCGTGAGATCAGGAGATCTGATCTGATGGTTTTATAAAGGGGAGTTCCCCTGCACACGCTCTTGCCTGCTGCCATGTAAGACATGACTTTGCTCCTCATTCACCTCCCTGCATGATTGTGAGGCCTCTCTACCCATGTGGAACTGTGAATGAATTAAACCTCTTTCCTTTATAAGTTACCCAGTTGCCAGGTATGTCTTTATTAGCAGTGTGAGAACAGACTAATATAGTCTCTATCTTCCATTTTGGAAGTTTTTCATGTTTGGTATTACTTTAGCTGTCCATATTAAAGAGTAAACCACTAAAAAGTTGATTGGAAGTTCTGAATGAAACTTCACTAGTGATGGGTGGGCTTCACTAGTGATTGGGTGATCAAGAAGCCTAGACAGCTGCCTTTTTTTTTTTTTTTTTTTTTTTTTTTAATTATAGCTGTAGAATCTGTTCTCTGGCAATAGTTCTGTTTCTACAGAGGGGAATCGTTGAATCCTGCTGATTGTGGAAATGATCCTAGTTTCCGTGGTTTTGGAATTAGAAGGCAGATGGGTACGGAAGAGATCAATCCTTCAGCATGCAGATTCTCATTTAGTTCTTATTCTTAGTCTGGCACATCACCATTGCCCTCCTCTGTGCCTGATCTCTCTGTACTTGGTGCCTCTCTGGTTCAGTTTCTTCAGAGAATAAACTTCCAGTCTCTCTCAGGAGCTGGAGAGAGGCACAAGATGACAGCAGGAATCTTGTATCTCAGTAATATTTTAAATTAAACATGATTTCAGTCCCTCCCTATTCATTTCCTCTGAGATTTCTGATGTCCTGAATTCCTACACTTTTCTGGGATTCTATGGGAGCAAAGTGGCTTGCAACCTGAGAGCCTTCTTGCCACTCCACCCGTCATGCATTTAAATTTTATCTTCCGTCTCCTCTACTCAATAACTTACCATTTTTCTTTAGTCTGCTTTTCACCTTCACACTTCATATTGTGATTCAAGTTATAGAACGTTGAATATAGCTTCATTATAGATAGAGTTTGATTTTTCTGATTCTTGTTATTTGGGGATCTGATCTTTTTTGGGGAGAAATGGGGTTGAAATACCTCTGTCTACTATTTTCATCTTAGAAGTCCCTTATTTTGCTTTAGTGGTTTTTAATAGTGTGCTTGCAGAATTTATAATTTCTTGAGGTCCTTATCTTTTAAAACAAGGATTATATAATTACTCATCAAAAGTGTTACTTAATTACAGTCTTCAATTGCACATGCTTCTTTTAATTGTACACTAACAGACTTACCTCATAAATATAAATGAGCTTATAATTAAGCAGTCAGCACTTATGAGTCATAAACAATAATTAAAAATTATGTTGTGGGCAAAACAGCAAAAAGCAAATACAAATAACTAGAAAATAAAACTGTTTTGAGATTTTCATATATATGTTGATGAATAGAAAAGATTCACAAGTACTGTTAAAAATCAGTACCTTATCAACTGGTTGAAATGACTGTTATTTCTGAAAGTTTCCAACTAATACATGTTGGTGGGCAGCCTGTTTAGCCTTGATACAGTTTTTGTTTTTAATGCAAAGTGAGCATTTTTCTATAGTCATCGCCCTTTATGTAATACCATTTGTGAATAAATATTTGTAATATTGTTTGAGATCATGGGTATTGATACATATATTATAAAATTTAATAATTTAAAGATGTAGTTGTTTCTAAGTCTTTTAAAATTCTTTCCTTAAACTCTTGTTCATACTATTTTTATATCTAAAGAAAAATAGTAAATGGAAAAAATAAAGTATTTACTATGCAAAGATAAATGCTAAGCCCTTACTGAAATATCACAAAACCAATGAATTTATGCAATTTTAATGTATTTCCAATAACTGGTTATTCTGATTTCCTTTCCTGTCACACTATTTTTAAAATATTTGTGTGTGTTTTTTACTGAACAGCCACACTATTTTTACTGGAATGCATATAACACAGGAGTTAGAACCCCGATGCATTTAGTCTGGTTTACCTAGTGACAATACCTCAGTTACTCTCCTAGGCAAATTATTTTCTTCTTATAAATAATTTTAATTTAACCTTCTAAGTAATTTTAATCCATTTTCTATACACCTGACAAGAGTAATTATGAAAGGAAAAAAGTCATTATAGATGTATTATGAAACGTAAAGAAAAATTTCACTTCCAAAAAGACATCTACATTTTTAGTTGGCGTTAGTAAATTATACATTTGGAAGTTACAAGAATATGCTAGAGTGATTTAGCATCTATAAGTCACAAAGGGCAAAGAGACAGATGGAACAGACACAGGGTGAAAATTCCATGCTTTGTGAGGTAAGTAAAGGGTAGCAGTACACATTTACTTACTACCATTCTGTCTGTTGTACTAGTAATATCTGGACTGATTTAATGGCTTGTTTCATGGGAGAAGCTCTAAACTTTACCTCAACATTTATATAAATTTAAGCTGCAGAGGTATATTTTTAATTTGAATTTTCTAGATCACATGTCTACAATTTCCTGAATTTCTTTATTAACAGCCAGGCTTATTATAAAGAGACGTAAACTGTAGATCATGTCTACAAAGGAAACAAATCCTATATTTTTTAGGTTGAAAAAACTTACAATAAACCCCCAAATTTGTAATAGTCAATATTTAAATAAATTTCACTGGATAAAAATCAGAAATGCTATAAAAGGTCTGAACTACTTAAGCTGATGAAAGTTCCACCTAGACAACCCCATGTTTATGTGAACATATATAATTAGAAAGGATGTCAGTAAGAACCTTACTGGAAAGTGGTTTGGCAAATGTATCAAAATTCTTAAAGAATGCATAAAATACCCATCATAGTAATAATTGCATTATAAGAACAACAAAAAGAATGATTAAAAAGTAGGTAAAAGATTTATGATAGTGTTCAGTCAATGCAGGATATATGTAGTATAGTTTTCACAATGTCCACACGTGTAAATTTGCATGTATATGTATGCATAAATATATAAAAAGTAAAGATTTTTGATAGTATTTATCACTTGATAGTAAGCATATAGGTTATTTCTTCTTTATATTATTATGTGTTTTTCTGTATTACTATCAAAATGTATATTCCTATCAAATTAGAAAAAAATTATTTAAAGCAAATACAAGAAATAGCAGCAACAATAACACATTATAAAACTCAAATTCTATAAGAAAGAATAAAACTTTGGGGTTTAATGATCAAGCAGAATTACATATCTTAGGGATTTTTCATAATATTAAATAATAATTTGATGGAAGGATTTAGAAACATGATCAATATACTTTCTCTCTTGGAACCTCAAAATACATGTAAATATAAAATCTTAGCTAAAAAACATCACAGGGCAATGCTTGTATTCAGAGATTATAACAAGTTATTTTTCTTTTCTTCTTTTTTCTTTTCCTCCTTTATTCTGCATTGTCTTCTAAAAATGCAGAATAAGTTAAGGCAAGTCATGTTCATCAGAATCAATTATTCAATTATTAACCAATTTTAAGCACTTGCTACTGGGGATTCTGTAGTGAAGAAATTAAAGTTCTGGTCTGATAGAGGAGCCAATGTTATCTCTATCATGTTACGATAAAGTGTTATGAATAAAATAATATTCATTAATATGCTATACTTCATAGATAATAAAAATATGCAAAATTATAAATTTCTTTGTTTAGCAAAGAACACAAAATTATCTTTTTTATTTATGCTAAGGCATGTAATTTTTCTATTTAGCTAATTAAAGAAATTAAAATTGCTCGATTACTTACTCCAATATTAAACATCCCAGTAAAATACTCCATATTTGCTTGAATGAACCAAATGTTGTTTAAACCCAGTTCATTACTTCTCTTCTTAGCACGAATTAATGATAATTCCTTGTTTTCTATTAATGTAACCTAGATTTTACCCAGAAAATAGTATATTTAGTACATAATTCAGACAGTAGGCAAAGCATTTATTACTATATTTCATAGCTTAAGAAATGTAGAAAGTATTATACTGAGTCTCTATCCTGTGGCAGGAAGTGTATCATATAATCTAGTATACAAAGGAAAAATGAAATGTCTTTGAACTATTCTTACAGCATAGTAATATAAATGAAACATGCAATAATAATACAGTGAGGGCTGGGTGCAGTGGTTTAAGCCTGTAATCCCAGCATTTTGGGAGGCTAGGGCAGGCGGATCACTTGAGGTCAGGAATTTGAGACCAGCCTGGCCAATATGGTAAAACCCTGTCTCTACTAAAAGGAAAAAAATTAGCCAGGCTTAGTGGTGTGTGCCTGTAGTCCCAGCTATGGTATTTGGGAGGCTGAGGCAGGAGAATCGCTTGAACCTGGGAAGCAGAAGTTACAGTGAGCCGAGACCATGCCACTGCACTTCAGTCTGGTTATTGCAGGGAGAATCCATCTCAAAACCAACCAACCAACCAACCAACCAAACAAACAAAAACAAAACATCAAAAAATAATAATAATATAGTGTGATAAGTATTAAATCAAAGACAAACAATGTTAATGGGAGCACTCAAACTTGATGACTAAGAAAGGTTTTCATGGGTAAGTAACATATTAACTGAGTCCTAAAAAATGAATTCAAATCAGCTGAGGGAATGGAAGAGTCTTTCAGGCAGAGAAACACACATGAAGGCTCAAGATGAGAAAGAGTATGGTGTGTTTGAAGAACTGAGAGAACTGGTACACAATTTTGGTGATAGTGGTGATGGGACAGGGTGTGAAGGATGAAAATGAGGCTGGAGAGGTAAACAGGAACCAGATCATGCATTTATGATAAAAGAAGTTTTAGTGGTCTGTAATTTATGGTATGGATTGGTGGGAGCAAGGCCAGTCGGCAGAGAAGCCAGGTAGGAGCCTCCAGTGATAATCTAGGCAGAGAAGATGGTCTGAATGGAGAAAAATGTAAAGAATTAAGTCACTTTCATCACTATCATTCTTAGTTCTTATTTTGTTCTTATATTTGTCTGTAAGAAAAAAATCTGTTCAAAAAACTGTTAGTATATACTTGGTGTCAAAGGCTTTCTAGCCTTTATTCTAGACAAGATTACTCATTCTTGGTTTCAACCTTTCTAGCTTCCAGAACTATTAAAGAGAAGAAAAGATACTACATCCCTGACTCTGCTTCTTCAGAATTTTACTCTGTGAGCTCTCTTACTCCTACTCAATCACGAAATTGTTGCTTTTCTTAATAATAAAACAAACACCTGCCTCTTCTCCCAGAATTCCTTATATTTTCCTGTTTTTTTTTCTCTAAAAAGAAAAGAATGCTGTTCCCCATCTTCCCACCATCATTCTGTTACATGTTATTCTGCTCAGTCTATTAGTTATTTCATATATTTTTTTCTTCCAGAATTATTCACTACAATTAGTTCACAACTTCCAGAGAGCTCACTAGCAAAGACTCTGTTGCAATTGAGTTTGTATTAAAAACAAAACAAAAAAACAGACATTTATGCTAAAAAATGGTCACTGTGAGAAACTGATTTAACATAGCAGAATAGTAAAATCAGCACAAAATTCTAACAAATTGTGGCACTGATTGAATAAACTATGATACATTTACTTAAAAATACATTTGGTCATCTCTGAAATAAGATGATACGTAAAGCTTAGCAACAGGGAAAAATATTTGTGATTAAATATTGAGTGAAAGCAAGGGACAAATTATGTTTGTATTTTTAAAATTTGCAACAATAAGCATCCATAAGGACAATGGCTTAATGAGAACAAGAAAAGCAAAGCATTTGATGGATCAGTTTTGTTTTTTTTTCTTTAAAAAAATTTTGCTATTGTTATAATTTTGATGCAATGGATCAAAATCAAGATACTAAAAGAACATGCTCGCAAGTTTCAGAAATTTTAAATTTCCATTTAAAATTATACTGAAAATTAAACTAGTTGAATCATAATTATTTTATTTAGCAATAAAATAGCTATTTCTTTGAAAAATTTCTTAAACATATAAACCTCTTTTAAAAATTGATAACTCTTTTGTGATCTTACTTTACATTTTTCTCCTTAAGAAAGTTTACTTCAAAGAAAAGAAAATGCCTGTGCTACATATTTGACTTGGTTGAATGATAAGAAACTCCAAGAGCAGGGATAAGCCTAATTTGGCTAGCTAAACTGTATCGTTTTTAAATATTTCCTTTTATCTCTTATTCAGGGTTTACCTGACATGATGGCAGCATGTGAGCAAGGACAATTCCAACATGGCCCTGAAAAAGTCAGTAAGACAAACAAGTTAGCCTTGGTCCCCATAGCTTTTCCTCATTCTGAAACCACAATCTCACCAAATAAAAACATGACTTTGAATGTAATATAGAAAGTCATATAATCCTAGAAAGGCTAAAAAAGATAAAAGGAGAGAGATAATACCCCACCGCTGCAGAAATCCACAATTCTGTCACCAGGTTTGGCCTGATTTGTTACCACATAGACAAGGTTGTTCAACTGTTGCTGCTTCCTCAAAGCTCGATCACTGGACATTTTACCTGAGAAAGACATGAGACAAAGAATACAAAACATTACATATTTTGAGGGAACAAGAAGACACGCTTAAAATAGACGACCAGCATAGAGGAGGAGGATAGGAAGGAGCAAACACACATATATATACATATAAAAGAATAAATGACAAATTCCATATTAACAGACTGTTAGAGGACTAGAACATGAGATGAATTTTATTTTTGCTTGTTTTACTTTTATTTCTATCCAATATTTCTTTCAATAGCTATTGAAAGAAAATCTATGGGGAAAAATATGTCTTTTAAAGAGTAGAAACAATAACTGAAACATTAAGTCTAGGGTCATAAACCAAGTGTCCAATAAATATTGGCAGAACGGAAAAAATAACAGTAATTGTCTTATCCCTTTATCTTTTTTCAGAAACATATTGTAAAGAGTACCTAATTTCAACACATTGCTTACATCTCTTTATGGAGATCCATAATAAGTAAAAATATTTTTATTGCTTAATTGACACATCCTTGAACTCTTGATTCTTCTGGGTAGGACACTGGGAAACCTTGAAACATAGGTGTTACATTGTCTGAAATATATCAATGGTTATTGTATTTAGAGAGAAACTGGATATTCTGTTTTCTGCTTTGAAGCTTCCTTTCCTTGTGAGTCAGAAATAGAAATATAATTCAACTAGAGATTAAAGATAAGCCATTTCCAAGTATGAAATGCCTGGGGCCCCACAACATAAAAAACATCTTAACTTTCAAAAGTGCTAGTCAAGTCCATGAACATATCTTCAGAAGAATGAATGAAATTATTTGTTTTTACATATTTCAAGTGCATTCTTTATAAGAGCAAAATTAAGAAAATGTAAGAGAACAGATTTCCATGATATAGATTCAAGGGAAAATCCAGATAATCTTTTTGGTTTGATAAAAAATTAAACATACTAAGGTTTCCTTACTTCTTTTTCACAGAAAAATGACATGACCTTTTTCGTTTTTTCTCTTTTCTGTTTTCCATCTTTCTTATGTTACTAAGTTACATAAAAAGCATGGCAAAATATTATTTTAAGAAAAAATTTTAAATGTGAATAAAAATATGAGAAAAAATTCATAACATCATAATTCAGAGGTAACATTTTATATATATGTATGCATGGTTACTTTCAGTTATATTCATAAATTTTATGTGTTCTAGCTAAGTATAAAATATAAAATATGAAAATTATAAATATCTTTCCATGTCAATGCATTTGTTTCTATCTATATATTTTAATGGCTGCATAGTATTCCATTAACTATATATATGCTATAATTGAAGTACCCAATTTCCTACTGTAATGATGTGAGCATCATACACAGCTGATTCTTTCATCACATCCTTAATTATTTAGCATGGATTAATGTAAACTGCAAATATGAAGAATATTTAAGTCAATAGTCTGGTGACTTCATTTGTGAAGACAGATTCATTTAGCTTTTAAAAGAATTATCTTCATTTTTTTTTCTCTAATAAGTGTACAATATTGAAACACAGAATAAGTAAAAGCTGTCACCCCACCCTTCATGGGTAACCATTTTTAAGAGATCTTATTATGACAACTTTCAAGCAACTAGCAAAACTGAAAGAAACTTACAGTGAATGCCTTTATACCCTCCACCTAGATTCTACCATTAACAACTTACTATACTTGATTTATCATACTTCTATCCATCCTTCTATTCATCCAAATGTGTCTTATTTTTAGGGCATTGCAGTTTTAATTTGCAGGAGTAAGAATAAGAACACGAAAAGGGGAGGAAAGGAGGTGTCAGAAGGCAAAAAGAAAAGTACTTTGAGGCTCTTTGGAGACCTAGAGTCAAAAATGCCACTATTAAATGAAGCCACCATGAAGTAAGGAATGAGCACCAGCATATCTGCCTTTGCTCTGTTTGTAGATTTTTAAACAGTTCCTAGACAAAGAATTTTCATAAAAGAAAGTCAGAAGGAATAATGTTTTTATTAAGAATAAGGAGATACGAAAAAATTTATTAAATGAAATATCTAATATCAAGTTCTATGACATATTTTTATTAGAAATTTAGAATTACCTAACTTCCTTAAGTCTATTTCAGAATCAAATGCTGATGGAGATCTGTTTTTCTTGCTAATACTGCATCTTCACATATAAAAAAATAGATGTTGAAATGAAGGTTGACGGCAAAGGCAAAGAAGTACTTTTCAGGGTTGTGTTTAGGTTAAGAGACCATACGCTGCACATAATATTCACAGAGATTGAACTAAAAATACAGCAGCAAGGTGCTCAGATGAATTATGGAAAAATAGCCTCTAATAAAGCATTCTCTTTCCCCATTCCAGTTTTATAAATATTATGAAGCTCCAGGAAATATAAGCAAGATCTGAAATATATTCAACAAGGTAAAGAAGGGGTATTTTGGGCTACAGCATTAATTTAAAAATCAAATCCTACTTTCTATTTTTGTCCAGTATCCTCGTGCCTGAGACATTATTTACAAGCATAAAATTACAATCTATTTTTAGCTTGACTAAAAATGATGGATCTCCAGTGTCATGGAAAAACAAAACCTAAGTGTAGAATATTTTACTACCAATGATGTCATTTGTTCTGCAATGCAATTATTCTGCAAATGAGTTTTTTCTTTGTCTAATTCCAGTTAGGAGGTACTGGATCAGACAACTTCAGTGTGGTTTGCGCTGCCGGAAAAGAAGGTAGAGGGGTAAAGGAGCCAATTTTGTTGTTGTTGTTGTTGTTGTTGTTTTTGAGATGGAGTCTCACTTTGTCACCAGGCTGGAGTGCAGTGGCACAATCTTGGCTCACTGTAACCTCCACCTCCTGGGTTCAAGAAATTCTCCTGCCTGAGCCTCCCAAGTAGCTGGAACTACAGGTTTGTGCCACCACAACTAGCTAATTTTTGTATTTTTAGTAGAGACGGAGTTTCACCATGTTGGCCACGATGGACTTGATCACTTGACCTCATAATCTGCCTGCATCAGTCTCCCAAAGTGCCCGGATTACAAGCATGATCCACCATCCCCGGCCAAAGGAGCCAATTTTTAAACAAGGGTGAAATCATGTTAAAACACCAGCATTTTTGGTTTATCCAAAGCATCAAATAATAATTAAAAAAAATCACTGGAAAATGTGTACATGTACAGTCAGCACACATGTTCAGTGTAGTAATTTATGTTCCAAATCAGGCAGCTCTTAATTTTTTGTTTCTTAGCTTGAAAAAACAAGTATCTTATACGTTATAACTTACTTACAAAAAAGTGCATGGATACACATTAGATGTCTTTACTAAAGATTCTTTTGCTGTTTTGTTTTCAAAGCATTTCTTTGGCCATTTCGTGGCCAACCATATTCTGTGATTTTTTTTTTTTTAATACAGAGACAAAGGAGAAGGCTAAAACTAATGTTTAGAGCTTTTAACAGCACACTGAAAAGGCTAAAAAAAAAATCAACAGAGCAAAAGCAAATTTCTTCAACAGAGGTCAGTGTGTGTAGACCACTCTTTTAGAGAAGGTGTAAGACAACTGAATAGACAAGATGGCACTCATAGAACCTTCGGCAGGTGAAAGGGAAGATGACAACCACAAATGTTAATGTTTTCAAAAGAGGTCTGATTAACAGCATTAAGAAAGACAAGCTGATGACTGGTCATTTACCATGCTTTATGGGGCAATCAACAGCAAAGCCAAGGTTCTATCCCCATAGTAGCTATGGTTTTCACGCTTGGAGCAACAACTAAGGTATCTACTTATATGCCCAATACTCATCTATATGCTGAGGACACATCTCAAGATGAATAAGAAGATACAGTTTTAGTCCTTAAGAAGTTAACAGGGTATCTAAGAAGAAGGTGCATGTTAATTATGTGCAAAAGTATGTACATTGAAGATAAAGTAGAAATGTCTTGAGACATTAGAATGGCCTTGACAAAGACTTGGGCATTTCAGTTGAGTTTTTAAGGAAGATCAGAAATTTACCAGATAGGATGGGGCTGGCTATGACAAGAACAATATGGCATGTTTAGGAGAAAACTATCATTAACTCACTTGCACCTAAAAATGAGAGATCAGTGGGGAAGCAATAGAACATCCGATTAACCTGAAAATACAAGCAGGCAGGGCCAGATAGGAAATGACATTGCTTGTTGTTTGCCTCTGTATGTCTTACTGAAAACATGGCCTTGCTTTCTTATTTAATGTGCTTAGAGCTGCTTAGGGACAAGTTTAATCTGAATAGACAGCACATTTAATTTTACATTATTAGAAATTAAAGGTGTTCTTTTATAATGTTAGTCCGTATCATTTTTATTCTGGATATAGTATATCCTCAAATTAGACACAATTATCCATAAAATTATCTAGAGCAAGTGTGCGCTCTGCCAATTATGCTCTCTGCCATTATGTGATTCAATTAAAAATAAAATTGAATCAATTAAACTCATTGAATCATTTTGAACCCCGGTGTTCTAGATCAAGAAATCTTTTGAACCCCTTACTGAATTATCCTCACTCTCCTTCTCAGGCTCCTCTTCCCTTGGTATACCCCTGACACACTATGCTCACCATATTCTGTCTCGTTCTGTAGCTAATCACTGAGCATGCTTTTCCTTGGCATATTACTAAAGTCTCTCCCAAATGTACCCATTAAAGTATCTCTCCTTTGCTTAAATAGCTTTACAGGCTCCTCTCTGCTTTAAGAAAAAAACATTGATGTCTTGGCAAGAAAGCAAGGCTTTTAATGATCTCAGCCCTGATTAATTTGCTAAACTCATTTGTTGTTTTCTATATATGCCCAATGTTCCAGCCTCTCAACACAAGTGACATTTCTTTGAATTTTTTACATTTTATGAGTTAGTTCCTTTATATAATTTATTCCCTTTGCTTAAAACCTATCTCCTTGCTTTAAAACTTTAGGAACCCTATCACCTTTCCTTATTCCAGGATGAATTTAAAACATGTATTACTTTTGTCATAATAACAATTTTTTTAAAGA